TTTAACAATTGAAACTGTTACACAAAGAAGTCCCTTGGCAGAGATGAATTAACCAATACATTCTTTGAAGTGTTATTTAAGGGGGCCGGGGAGGGAAGACCAATTCTATCCAAACTCTTCCAGACAATAGAAAAAGAGATAACACTTCCCAAAATGTTTCATGTGAAAAGCATAAACCTCACAAAAATGGCATCAGATTATTGTTAGAATGCACTATCACAGAACAATCTCTCCCCTGACCATAGATGCAAATGTCCTAAATTAAATGTCTACAAGGTGAAACCAGTGATACAAAAAAAGGATAATATATCATGACTGGTGACATTTTTCCAATGATTGAAATATTGATTTCACATTCAAAAACTAATATAATTCACCATTAACAGATTAAAAAGGTAGAAAATTCCTTGACTAGATAGGTAAAGAGAAGCAAATTTCCCCAAAATTAAAACATTAAAAAGAAAAACAGAACAAATAAAACAAAAACTTCTAGCAACCTAAAACACAAGATAGCTTCCTTAACCTAGTAATGACTATAACAGTTAAAAAAGGAGAAAAAAAACTATAGCAAACATCATTCCTAATGATGAAATATTGAAAGCTTTTCCTCTAGTTTGTTAGCTCTCTATTTACTTACTATTATACTGGGGTTTGTAGACAGCATAATCAGGTTAGCAAAATTTATTAAGTATATAAGGATTGAAAAAAGGAAATAAAATAATCATTAATTTTACATAATTGTACACATAGAAAAAAACTAGAGACATACTCTCATAATATATAAATTTTTCATGGTCTGTGGACATAAATATGTGTGAATATATACATATATTATATACATATAAAATAAAAATAAAGAGTAAAACTTTAATAATACTATTCAAAATATTTTCAAACAATCTTAAGATAGAAATAGCTTGGACTGACTTATAAGGAAAGATATATAGGACCAGCATGCTGAAAATTGAAATATATTCTCATGAGAAATTTTAAAAGATAAATATAATTATCTACATCCTTATCACAGAATAACATTAAATAATATTACATCACTTCACAAAGAAGTAATTCCATTTCTCCCACCACCAACCTTTGTGCTCTTCTTGACATATATTTTACTTCTAAATAGGTTATAAATATACATTTTCATTATATTCGCTTTGATCAGCCAACGGCCTTTAAGGAAAATTTTTTTTTCATTAAGCCTAAAGAACCTCCTTTAAAATCTAAGTGTGCCAGGGGCACCTGGGTGGCTCAGTGGGTTAAGCATCCAACTCTTTATTTCGGCTCAGGTCATGATCTCAGGTCCTGATCTCAGGGTCCTGAGATCCATCCCCTGTCAGGGCTCTGTGCTCAACATGCAGTGTGCTTATCCCTCTCCCTCACCCTCTGTCCCCCTGCCCTTCCCCCTGCTCATACTCCCATGCGTATTCTCTCTAAAATAAATAAATAAATAAATAAATCTTAAAAAAATTAAATTAAATTGTTTGTGCCAGTGCTAAAATTTTTCAGCTTTTGATTTTGAAGGTATCGTTATTTCATCTTCATTTTTATAAAATATTTTATTTAGTACAGACTTCTGGGTTGATTTTTTTTCTTTCTGTATCTTAAAAATGTCACATCATTCTCTTCCAGCCTTCACATAATCCATCTTCTGTTCTTGTTCCCCTGAATGAAACATATCTTTTTTCCTCTCTGGCCACTTTTAAGATTTTTTTTTTTTTTTAGTCATTTGATTATGATGAGCTTAGGGTTGTGTGTGTGTGTGTGTGTGTGTTTAATCCTGCTTGGGGTTTACTGAGCTCCTTGGATCATTGATTGATATCTTTCATTAACTCTGAAAAATTCTCAGCCACTATGTCTTCAAAAATTTCTCCCCCTTCATTTTTCCTCAATTCTGGAACACTAATTGTAACTGTGCATCTAATGTTACGTTACAGGTATTAGAAAGCTCTGCTCAGTTTAGTTTTACATTCCTTTTGCCTCTTCGTGCTTTAGTTTAGGTAGTTTTCTTACCTGTCTTCATTTTCTCTGTGCAGAGTCTATTGTGAAGTCCATCGCATAAATTTCTTATTTCTGATTCTATATTTTTCTGTTCTGGTATTTCATTTTATTTTTTATACTTCACATTTTTCTGTTGAAATGTTCCCTTTCCATAATTATACATTTTGCCCACCTTTCTACACTGTGATTTAAAATATTAACCGTAGTCATTTTAAAGTCTTTATTGTCTAATACTAATATCTGGAACATCTACAGATTAGCTTCTGTTGACTTTTTTTCCTCTTATTGTCTATGATTCTCATGTCTTGTTTCATTGCATATCTCATAAGTTTTATTATATATTAAACACTGTATGTCAAAGAAAATAAAGATTAAAATCAATGATATTTAACCTCAAGACATGTTTCTTCTTCTATCAAGTTGCTTCAAGGGTAGTAGAAGGAATCACTCTAATATATATTTCAGCTGGTTCCGGGCTTTGTTGCAGATTTTGTTAGATTCATTTAACCACTGGCTTCAAATATTTTGGTTTTGAGATCAATATTTTCTTCAGCATGGCTTGAGATCTAAGCCCCGGCAGGACTCCAGAGATCTCTCTTTGTTTTTCAATTTATTAGCTAATTTTCTGAATTGTAGGAGATCTCAGTTTCATAGTTGTGTATCCAGACTTTCAGGTGACTGGGGACTTCTCTTTCTTTTCCTAGCTTTTCACCTTTGAGAGATCTTTCTCCACTTTGCTACATTGTTCCCAGCCCACAGTGGGCTCTAATTTGAGCTAAATAAAAGTCTGCTGCATACTGTGAGGACTTCTCAGCTACTCTGCCCTTCTGCCAGCTAAGGGCACCTGCCTGCATGTGATGAAAGCCTTGTGTATCCCCAGAGAATCTTTCACAGCCTTTCCCCCTCTCCCATCCTTCAGTAACTCAGGAAAGACCCTGTACATCTTGAGGGACTTTCTCAGCCCTTTTACTCTGCCTCCAGGCTTTAGCTCACTACCTTCATCCACTCGGCGATCCTGTGTGCCTGAAGGAACGTTCTTTCAGTTCTCCTGTCCTGCTCCCAGGCTGCTGAGTGTCTAGTATAAAGTTCCTCGTGGCTCTAGGGTGTACTCTCTCAATTGTTCTGGTTTTCCGACAGCATTTAATACACTGCTATTAGGCCCTCAGTGAAGGCCTTGTGTGAAAAAAATTAAAGGATGGGCAGAAACTGAGATTGCTTGAGATACTAATTAGTCATGTCAGACCATATGCAGCCATTACAATTCTTGAAATGTACTTTTTTTTCTTTTGCTATTATATGATAGGTTCACTCACTTCCTACCAAGTGCAAAGATGAAAGCAGCTGTGGGGGTGGGGGCACCTCTCTCCTAGGATGGTCTCCACCTCCTTAGAATATTTAGGTTTTTCTGTTTATCTTAAATTCTTGGATGGGTTTAAAAACAAAACTATGATTTTTGTACCTTATTCAGTTTCTTCTTAGTAGGCTGGAAACTTTTTCTTAAGTAAGACCAAAAAAGCCCTAACTATAAAGAAAATATTGATCAGTGTAACTTCATTAAAATTCTATTTACCAAAAGACCCCATGAAGAAAGTAAACATATAGTACATGGGTAGGACAAGATATTTTTATACAGATAACTAAAAAACTATATCTAAATTATGTAAAGACCTCTTGCAAATTAATAAGTAAAATGTAGGCATCCACCCCCCCCAAAAAAAGAAAACACAAAACAAAATTTCAAAAACCATTCAAAAGATTTTAAAAAGGCATTTTATAAAAGGGGAGATCCAAATGGTCAATAAGAATTTGAAAATGTCTTCCAGCACATCATAGTAATTCATCAGGAAAAAGCAACTGAAAACAACAATGCCACATCACTTCATACCCAAGAGTCTAATATTTATGAAATATTGGCCAGAATGTGAGCAACTGAAACTTTATACACTGCTAGTAAGAAAAAAACCATCTTAGAATACTCTTCTAGGGTCTGTTTGCCAGTTTGCCAGCATCTGCTAAAGCTCATTCTATGTATACCCTCTGACTTGACCATGCTTAAGCGTATGACCAACAGAAGTGGGTGTACATATATTCACTGAACGACACATACAAGAATGTTTTAGTAGCACTGTTTGTAATCGTCAAGAATGGAAGCAACCCAAATATCCTTGAAGAATAGACATAGATAAATTATGGTATAATCGTATAATGAAATATTGTAGAGCGATAGGAATGAAGTATTGCCGCAGATGACATGATTGCATCGAATAGTAATTGTGTTGATTGAATAAAGATAGACAAATAGATTCAATTTTTACAAAGTGCAATAAGCGGCAAAACAAATATAGGATGATAGAAGTCATGACATTTTTTTCTGGTTGGTTAATGAATGGGTGTATATGTGAGAGGTTTCTTGGTCTGTTGTAATATTCTTTTTTCCTAATGGAGGTGTCAGGTACCCATTTGTAAACATTCATTAAGCCTTAGACTCTGGGCATTTTATGTATGTTACACTTTGTTTTTAAGAAGTGGCAGAACTGGGGCACCTGGGTGGCTCAGTTGTTAAGCGTCTGCCTTCGGCTCAGGTCATGATCCCAGGGTCCTGGGATCGAGCCCCGCATCGGGGTCCCTGCTCAGCAGGAAGCCTGCTTCTCCCTCTCCCTCTCCCCCTGCTTGTGTTCCCTCTCTCGCTGTGTCTCTCTCTGTCAAATAAATAAATAAAATCTTTAAAAAAAAAAAAAAAAAAAAAAAGAAGTGGCAGAACTGGGGCGCCTGGGTGGCTCAGTTGGTTAAGCGACTGCTTTCGGCTCAGGTCATGATCCTGGAGTCCCGGGATCGAGTCCCACATCGGGCTCCCTGCTCAGCAGGGAGTCTGCTTCTCCCTCTGACCCTCCTCCCTCTCATGCTCTCTCTCTCTCATTCTCTCTGTCAAATAAATAAATAAAATCTTAAAAAAAAAAAAAAAGAAGTGGCAGAACTGAACCTCAAACCCCTAAAATCTTATTCAGGATGACTAAAACCTTACCAATGCTACGATTTCATCAACCTAACAGTTGTTAAGGGGCTCATCTTTTCTTTTGTCATGTAATAAATATGCACTGTGCCTTCAAACAGTCAGTATTCTTGCATTTGAATAGTGTGATTTTCGCTACGTAAAAAGTAAAAAACACATACCAGACAGATGGGCAGATGCCTTAGGGCAAATGCCAGATTTTGTCCTTAACTTTTCAGATTCACGTTTATCATAATTTTTGACCTCTGATTAGTCATATCTGGCTATATGCAGCCATTACAATTTCTTTCTTACCTCCTACCAGTTCAGTAATGCATTTAAAAACATATTTTAAGTATATCATCCAGAATTGTTAGGTGTTCTGTTCAGGAATGGTTTATCCAGACATCAAGTATGCCAGATCATCAGAATTATCTTGAATCTTATTAAATATTTTCAACACATTATTTTGTATTTCTTCTTATCTCTAGCTCACAGCATGTAAATTCTCTAGTCTTTATCATACATGGTTTATAATTTCCGATTATGAACTCATTTTCAATGAGGATTGTTTCCTTTTTTTTAGAGAGAGTGAGAGAGAGTTGCATGTGTGGAGGGCAGAGTCAGAGGGAGATGCAGAGAGAGAATCACAAGCAGAGACCACGCGACACTGAGCTTGATCTCGTGAACCTGAGATCATGACCTGAGCCCGAAATCTGACAAGTCTGACACTTAACTGAGTCACCCAGGCACCCCTTAATGAGGACTGTTTTTGATAGGCACTCCCCAAATACTGGTTTGTCCAGGCCAGATTTCAAGTTGTTTTTATTAGGACCCTGTGAGTTTCAACTGTTCTGAATCAGTTTTCTGCCAATTTCTCAGCTCAGTTTTCCAGAACCATGTAGGTAGCATTGTATCAGGCCCCATAGCTATGAGTCAAGCTTGAGATTCAGATACCTCCTCAATGAATCTTTATCCTTTCATATCCCAACTTAGACGGGTACCTACATGCAGCTTCCCAATGTCAGTAGGCACAGCTGCTCAGGTACCTACCCCTGGATGGGATAGTCAGTGGATCCCTGATTTACTCGGGAATACACCTGTTCCCCATATTGTACAAACTTGAGACACTGTTCTTCATTTCTCTTTGAGCATTAAAACCACAACCTCAAAGGCCTTTGCTTGATTTTTATAGCTTTCTGTTTCCTGCTTTGGCTAACATTGACCAAATTATCTTCTAGTTACCTTTTAGTTCTAGAAATTGTTCACTCCTTTTCTTATTTGAAAAACTAACTGTAGAGTTTGAAAGTATTTTATTATACCTAACATGTATGTATGTGGCAATATATGTATTTGCAGTGAGTGGGGTTGTCTTTCTATATTAGCTTGGCTTACCATATTGACCAGAATTTTGTTATAATTTGAAAAATCTATGTGTTTACTTTTTAGAAACAACTTACCTGGATTTCCAGAGTCTTCTTTATTTACACGAATGTAATCTTTCTACCCAAACATTTTACTGGTTTCAAACTCAAGCAAAATTTGGGAAGAGTCCCAAGATTGTTGGGCTATTCATCTTTATCATTCACTTCAAATTAATTGTAGAATACATTTTTAAAATTCTGTATATTTGGAGATATGCACTGATTAGCAATTGTTTGTAATTGGCATAAATGTCCATTTACAATTTCTATAAGTACACATATTTAAGCACAATGAACAGGTTTCTTTGAAAAGCTTTTATTTCCCAAATCAGTTCCCATGAAACAAGCCACCTGCTCGCCAGCCAGCGACAACCTCAGCTAATGATCTAGTGATTTCTATTATAAAATCCCATCCACTGCTGCCTCCAGCCTTCCTTTTTGATGAGTGCAGACACTCCTACCCTATGCTCACCAACTTGTGTCTCTAAAACACAGTACACCACAGCACATTCAAGTATCTTTTATGCATAGTACAATACATACATGTGCATTTGTCTATGTTAAGCCATGTTCTTCTTCCTCTTATATTAAAATATAATACAGTAATTTCCCTCATGGTGTTCTGTTTGTCACTGTTCACCCAACACTGTAAAGAGCAAAAGTTTTGCCAGCATCTGATGCCACATCATGTGATGTACTAAGCTATTTATTAGGCTTCATCCTGTTTAGTTTGAAACTTCATACTCAAGGTGACATTTCATATGTCAGGATCAATAGTCTTTAAAGTTAAAACTGAGCAGTTTCGGTGTCACCTTCCTCAGATCGAGGCTGTTCTAAACTTCCTACGTCCCAGAATGTGTATTTCCTATGTTCTGTAAATCCTGCTAGCAAAAGTTTTCTCAATGATTTACAAAATGCATTTATGTTCGGAACTGCTCCTTAAATGTCTGCTATTTGTTACCTAAGGCCTTTTCAAGGACTGCTATAGAGGCTAGATTTGTTTGTTTCACAGAAGGTGTACCACTGAGAGACCTTATTAATTATTCTAAAAGGCACCACTGTACTATATAATTTAGAAAACTAAAAATTACAATTTTGAAAAGAGAAGTTTTGCATCATAAAGGGCAAAATGTTCCAAACCAAGCTGTTGAGTCTGTTTATGAAATATAGGTGGGGATATTTTCAAGAATTTTAAAAGCATGAAGTTAGAGATTTTGCCTACCATACATTTATGTTAAAATACTAATTTAGTATTCAGCACTTTTGACTATATAACCTAATATTTTGAGGCATTTCTGGATGATGCAAAATTTGAAAAGTTAAAAAAAAAAGACTTTTGGCAGTATATGAACATTTGACTGAAATTCTAGAAAATTGATTGTTTAAACAGGCACATTTATTCTTTCATATGAATGATGGACAGCTTCCTACAAGGATTACCAGACTGAATTGAGAAGTCCCATTCAAGCCAGAGTTGAGATAATGTTTAGGACTAGTCCAGGCTGGTGAAATTTCTGAGGACTTTCTTTTCTTTTTTTTTTTTTTTTAAAGATTTTATTTATTTATTTGACAGGGAGAGAGAGCACAAGTAGGCAGAGTGGCAAGCAGATGGAGAGGGAGAAGCAGGCTCTCCACCGAGCAGGAAGCCGGATGTGGGGCTCGATCCCAAGACCCCAGGATCATGACCTGAGCCGAAGGCAGCCGCTTAACCAACTGAGCCACCTAGGCGCCCCTTCTGAGGACTTTCAAATGAACTCAATATAGTGAACAAAATCTGTAAAGAAAATAAAGTTCTAATCTTATTCAGCTTTCCAGTGAAATAACCCAAGTTAATATTTCCATTATGGAATCCTAAGAAGTTGCTAACATAATCAAATGCTATTATTATCCCAAATCTTTTTGTTTTGTTATTTTTAATAAACTAAAGGGATTTCTGTCACTATGGAGTTAGAACGTAGAATCTTGTATGTCTATTTGCACACACACACACAAACACTCATTCTAAATCAAGTGTTATTAAACTTGAATCTAACTGATTTTTCTCCTTCTTAAATTGAATTCATTTTTCTCAAACTAATATTACTACCCAGAGAAAACTTTCCAACCAGTAACCTTCCAAAGAACCCCAAAATTTACCCAGCAATAATGTTATTTTTTTCACATTCTTCTAGTTTGTCCATTTTCTTCCTTTTTAGAGAGACTATTCTGCATTAGACCTTTCCTATTTGATTCCTCAAGAAAGTCAGTGATGAGTTTTCTTACTTAAGTATTTTCTATGATAGAGTGAGGATTTATAAGGACTTGAGAATTGAGTATAATAACAGTAAGATGAAAATGGGAACAAGCTCTATTCGTAGTCAATATATAAACATGTCTTATTAATATGATAGAGACACTATTCCAAGATCCACTAGTGAATTGCATTCCATTTTCCCTTCAAGTTTTCTTAGGTTAATGTTTACTTATTATGAAATATTATGAAATATTTTCTTTGCCACTTGATCTTATTACACTAAAGCAACAGGTCCATGCCAAGAGAGTTCTGTCTTCCTACATTTTTTTTTTTAGAAGTTTGAATAGGTTGGATACCTAAAAGTATATAATTCTTATAAGTATTGTTTTTATGTTATATCTGATTGTTTGAAGTAAAACTTTTCTTTAGAAATGAAACATTTCTCACTGATGACCTCTTAGGCCATTGAATTGAATTTCATTTAAGTAGTGAAAGATTCCTCAAAATATTTTTGATTTTTATGGAAAGACTGTTTTCCTTAATGCTGTCTTTATTTTTAAGGAATCACTTCATTATCCTTAAGGTAAAAGGTGGTTTTTTTGTTTTCTTTTTCTTGTTTCTAAAAGGAGCATTCTTTGGAAATTGTCACATGTCTCTTAATGACAGTGTTGCCCAGAAGAGTTCCATTGTTAGTCTCATGCCTGCTCTGTGCTGGGCTGCCGGTTCCGGATGCTAGAAGGAAACGGAACACAAAGACAGATAATGGAAACTTCTGCTATTACTCACAAAAAAACAAAGAAAAAATGTGGGTTAAAGCTGTCCATTTCAGTATCTGAAAACATAATATTTACAAGGAACTTAATTTTAATTCATTCTATTAGATATATAACTTTGTCTATAAAGAAAAATTCAACTCAAAAGCTACAAATAAAATATATTTTATTACTTACAATCACATATAAATGTGTTCAAAGTTCCTCTTATGGAGATGTGAATGTATATCCCCCTTTTTTCATGGATAGCAGAGGAGATCTTGTTAATTTCACAGACACAGCAAATGTATTTAAGGCTATTTAAGGACAGTTAAGAATCATGCATGCTAACTGCTGAGTGATTAATAAAAAAATAAATTTGAAGTAGTTGATGACATCACAAATGAATTGGCTGAAAGGACAAATGTATTTCCTGACACTGATTATTTTCATATATTATTAACTTTGTACACATAGAGGTGTTTGCAACTTAAGTATCTTTACATTTCTGTTCCTTCCATTTTTTAAAATTCCCTTTTAACAAGTATCATATGATCTCACTGATATGAGAAATTCTTAATCTCAGGAAACAAACTGAGGGTTGCTGGAGTGGTGGGGGGTGGGAGGGATGGGGTGGCTGGGTGATAGACATTGGGGAGGGTATGTGCTATGGTGAGCGCTGTGAATTGTGTAAGACTGTTGAATCACAGACCTGTACCCCCGAAACAAATAATACATTATATGTTTAAAAAAAAAAAAAAAAGAAGATAGTAGGAAGGGAAAAATGAAGGGTGGGGAATCGGAGGGGTAGATGAACCATGAGAGACTATGGACTCTGAAAAACAAACTGAGGGTTCTAGAAGAGAGGGGGTGAGGTGTGGTTTAGCCCGGTGATGTGCATTAAGGAGGGCACGTATTGAATGGAGCACTGGGTGTTATACGCAAACGATGAATCGTGGAACACTACATGAAAAACTAATGATGTCATGTATGGTGATTAACATAACATAATAAAATAAAATTTAAAAAAAATTCCCTTTTAACTATAATGCTCATTTGGTTTATGTTCATGAATTTTTCGTTTTATTTCCAGCTCCAGGTGATTTGTCCAAAGGCAAATTTCAAAACTTTAACCATCATTTGTATAACACCTTCTGTTTTCTAAAGTTATTATTTTTTATAATTAATTTGTATTCTGTCAATGCTGTCTACTTCATTTATTTTAATCATGTTTTTGTCTTTTCCCATTGCATATGTATTTTACTCTAAAGCAAGGTTTCCAGGAACATTTTAAGCATAATTTTTACCCTTTTCTGTTATTATTGCTACAATTTCAAACAATTTCTGCTTTCAAGATTGAAGCTGTGGAAGGAAGGATGTGCAACCTCAATGAACATTCAGTGACATGCTTAGAGAAGAAAATTGAACCAAAATGCTAAGAAACATGTACAAATTTTCTAAATCCTCCCAGAGTTCACAAAAAAAATTACTTCTCCCCCCCAACTTTTGATAAAATGAAAAAATACTTAAAGCTGCATAAAAATTACAAAAACATCTCCATGATGCACAAAATTACAAATAATTTGAAGCCAATGACTAGAAATATTCATTTTTGACCAATTTGTCATTTTGAGCAATTTGTCATTATGATCTATTTGTCAATCAGCCAGTTTATTTTCAACCAATTCACCGTAGTTTAATAAAATTGTTCTGTAGTTTCTGGGTATTACCACTGAAATTTAAAGACCCTTTGGAGAGAAATCGTGTTCACAGTAAATGTTCATAAAATCTGCCAAGGGAAGTACATTTTTTCTTTGACCCTTAGTTTTTATTCTTGCCAGGGTATTCAATAACTATATATGCAATATATTCCGATTTGGTAAGTGCATTTAATTTTGACCAAATTTAATGTGAAGGTGTGGCATACAAGGATCTTAAATGTACCAACGTTGCAAGACTTAAAAATTGAATATCTCAAAGATATATCAAGGAGTAAAAACAACAAGTTACAGAAAAATATGATTAGCATGTTTCTACATTTGCACAAAATAAAACAAAAGTCTGCATTTTTGACAAACCACTAAACAAATGGGATTATGGTGAAAGGAATTATAGGTAGGAATTCTCATTTTTATTTGGTAGCCTTTTGTGTTATTTAGAATACTTATAAACATTTAGTACTTTGATAATTTAAAGATTACATGGTTTGGGTAACTAGGCAGCAATCCGGCTAATCATACAGAAAGGTCTTGGCATAAGTCTAGAGGAAAGCATCAGAGTCTAGGATAAGAACTGCAAAGTGGCAGATCTAGGCACAAGCTTGACATTCAGAGGACTGTACATGATAGGATAGAGACCCCATAGAAACATAATTAGTGTCCTTGATTTCCTAGAGCCCAGGGAAGGATAGATTGGTCAGCTGAGTCTCTCCTGCCACTGGGATAGAAAACAGTACGCTTCCTAGGTTCTGTCAAAGCAAAAATTGTACCAAAGCTAAACAAGGAAGGAAAACTTTATTCAAGACCATTGCAGGGGCAGCTGGGTCAGTCAGTTAAGCCTCTGACTTTTGATTTTGGCTCAGGTCATGATCTCAGAGTCCTGAGATCAAGCCCTGCATCCAGCTCCATGCTGAGTGTCCAGGAAGATTCTCTCTTCCTTTCCCCCTCCAACTCCATGCACTCTCTCTAAACAACAAAAAAGAAAAGACTATTGCAAGGAGTGAGAGACTAAAGTCAACTCTGCCAAAAGAAAAGTCAGGAGGGCGACTTAAGTGCTGAAGGGTGCTAGTGGAAAAGTACTGGAGAGTGTTGGGGGTAGATTCATCAATGGGATGCATCAAGCACATTGAGTTATTCCCCAATTTTCTCTCTGTGATTCAGCCGTCTGTTTACTAATTGGTGCCCATTGAGTTTAGGCTCCTACACTCCAACAAAAATATAGAGACTCTGTCTTCCTTAATGATTGCATTTCACATCAACCCTGGGTTGAAAAAAAATGGCAAGAAGCTTTTAAAAAGGGGCAGAGAAAGGATTTACAATTATAAGTTTTTTAAGGAAATTCTTTAAGAAAAAGGTGATGAGGGGTTTCTGGTTAAGAAGAAGCCTATATAAAGTTCAGTCATTAAGGAGAACATTGAGGGCATCTTGGTCATTTCTTTAAATTTATATCCCACAAGGTCAAGGTTTCTTTGTCTTTCACCACCTAAAGGATCCTGAAAAAAATGCTACAATAACCAGATATGAACTAAAATGAGTTCATAAATAAAAAAATAACATGTTATGTAAGGGAGTCTAGTAGTCAGAGAGACAAGGTGAGCCAGATTTCAGAACACAAAAATCAAAGATACAGAATTGCTTGAAGAGTTAGTTGTACAAATATCTGAAAACTACATAATAAAGCACTTAAGAAGATTCAGTGCATCACACAAAAAATAAGACACAGTCAAAAACCAAGTTTATCCTTAGCAAACTAAAGGAATCAAGAAATGATTTAAGGAAAGTATGTTACTCTTAAGACTTGTTTTATTGGTCTGAAAGATTAAGTTCCAAAAAATATCTTACAGTACAAATACATAGAGATAGAAATTGTATGGGAGAAGATAAGAAACAGGAGATGTAATATAATAGGTCCAAGTGGTGTTGGGGGGGGTGAAAATATGAAAGAGTGGCAATAATTAAACAAATAGTAACAGTAAAAATTCCTAAGGAAAAAAAAATGTGAGCTTGCAAACCAGAAAGAATCATCTATTTTTCAGGTGGATGATGAAAAATTACATATACCTCTTAGCATGGTAAAATTCTGAATCTAAAAGATAAAAAAAAAATTCTTTCAAACTCTCTGACAGAAAAAGATAACTACAAAGGAAGAAAAGAAAAAAAAGCAGATGCCATACATCAATACTATTCACCATACTGGAATTTAGAGTATTATATATGCTTGCCAAGGAATCAGAAAGCTATCAAAAGCATCTGAAAGAAAATACTATCCATCAAATATCTAATATATGAAATGATGTTCAATTTCACAAATAATCAGAAAACAGAGTAAAGGTTAAGATTATGAAGGAAAAGAAGTCATAGAACCCAAAAGCGATTGTATTAAGAGTAATCAATACACTGATTTTTTCAGAAATCTGCAGAAAATGAGAGGGAGTAACATAAGGTTTGTAGATGACTGCAACAAGAAAAGGTTATCAGGTAGCATAAGGTTCATAGAGGGGCGTTTAGGCAGCAGTGAGCGAAAAATGCGTAGAAGGAAGATTGGGAGACAATTTCTAAGTCTCTTTCCATTCTGCCTGTCTCACAAGCACACTGCCTTTGCTCCGACCTATCTTTCCAAGGATGTTTGTACAGCAAACAGCTCTGGGAGATTGAGATAACAAAGGGCAGATTTGTTTACTGGCCATTGCAATAAAAATGCTGTCTCTCTATGACAAAAATCAGGCAGTCTTATTACCTTTTTGAAAGATCTGCATTCCCTAAGCTCAGGGTTCCTCTCCTGTAATGCATCCCCATGTGTGTGTGTCACCTGACCTACCCTGTGTCACCCTGAAGGAACTGGGTTTCAGGGAACTGGGACAAGAAAAAGGATGATACGCTGGCCACTGCTATTGTTGTAATAAACTGTCTTTGTCTTTGGGAAGGAAGCAAAGGAGAACAAAAAGAAGGGAAGGGAAGGGAAGGGAAGGAAGGGAAGGGAAGGGAAGGGAAGGGAAGGGAAGGGAAGGAAGGGAAGGGAAGGGAAGGGAAGGGAAGGGAAGGGAAGGAAGGGAAGGGAAGGGAAGGAAGGGAAGGGAAGGGAAGGGAAGGGAAGGGAAGGGAAGGGAAGGGAAGGGAAGGGAAGGGAAGGAAAGGAAAGGGAAAGGAGAGGAAAGGAAAGGAAAGGAAAGGAAAGGAAAGGAAAGGAAAGGAAAGGAAAGGAAAGGAAAGGAAAGGAAAGGAAAGGACCTATCCAAATAAAAGAAACTAACCTGAGACTTGG